GTACATGTACAGAGTCAAGCTCCGTATCCGATTTGTGAAGTTTTTTAAAAAAAAAAAACAAAAACAAAAAATACAAAACTTTTTCCAGTTTATAAAGCGTACTGCCATACTGATTTCAGTTCAGGCACCGCTGCAAATATAACAGAAACTCTCGCAGGTGGTCGTGGTTCCGATATACTCGTAAATTTCATTAGGCAACAACAAATGGAAAAAATAAAATTTTAATAATGACCAGGGATTGGGTATTGATAAAGATTACAAGCAAGGCCGAATTTAGATCGTGATGACGTGTTTGATAAGTTTGCTTTTACACCTTAATGCCTTTTTTTTTTTTTGCTCATCGTATTTGTTAAAAAGGAAAAGTGGCGAGAAGTTTTTTAAACGCTATAAGGAGGGCCTAAAATAACAAAAGTTGGAAATCACTGGTATACACGGAGTTATAAACAAGAGTTGTAAACCCCCTTTTACTTTAAAATATTACAACAATGAGTGTTTGTTAGTATTTATATTTTTAAATTATATTATATTCCAGTCAAATTGCATGGGGAGGGGGGGGGAATCTCGGTGTATTGAATGAAAATCGGCTTTAAATTCTCATTGTCGAATTGAATGCAACAAAAGAAAACGTTTCGGTTTGTTCCTGAATTCATGATTATCACGTTATCAAAAAATCCCCTCCCGTCGAAAATTCCTTGGCAAGCCACTGCGTGTACATGCGATGTACAAAAACAAAAATAATTACGATTTTAATCTTATATAGGTATTATAATTTTCGAGCAAAACGCATTCTGTCACGGTTTCCGAAGTAGATACCCGTATCATCGTATCAAGGTGAAATCACATAATAATATACGGAACGAGGCATGTATACCAGAGGACTGCAGTTTGCATTTCTGCAGGATGTGGTATTGCGGTCGAACCGCTGGAACTTTGTTTTTTTCGAGGGGAAATCGTCCCCCGGTCACCGTTTTGACGACATGTAAAAACGCGCTGGCGCGCGCGCGCGCGTGTGTGTGTGTGTTTGCCCGCGTGTAGTGAGAAAACACTCGCGTATATTATAACCACTGCGGTCCGAGTCTCGCGTATCTCCCGGGTTTTTTATGCGGCGACGGTCCAATATATAATATTATTATGATCGTATAATATTATGACGATCGCGTGCCGTTTAACATACGTGCTCGACACCAATATAAACCCGTATGATAATAATAATAATAATAATAATCATAATAAATACGGTTTACCAAAACGACATTCGCTCGTCGGTTCGTGTTTCGCGAATTCTTTACGACAGGCCTTGCCCGCGCGTGCCCGAACAGAAACATTACGTAAGTCGAGGAAACGCGAGATAACAGTTACGGATCCTCGCCGCTGACGTTCGTTTTCTCCGTCTGTCCCGCACGCGCTGTTTTGGCAACGATAAGGCATTTCGCGTTTCCGCGACGGCGACCGTTTTCGGTTGAATTTAGGGCGAACAGGGCACCCAGCTATATGTCTATTATACGTTTTATAAACACGTTTACTGTATAAACCGTATGAATATGTATATATATTTTTTTTAATACTTTTGTTTCGTAATAAGTTATTAAGGGCAACGAGAAATTATTTAAACTCGCATATCTCGATGGTGAGAGGGGGGGGGGGGGGGGGGGGGGGGGGTAGAACAATGAAAATATTAAAAGAAATCGTCCGAAGGATCTATAGTATAAACACTATTTTTAAACAAATTTATGAATAGGTGCCCTCGAGCAGAGGGTCTGCACAGACATTGAAAACAAATGTTCCATAAAAGGACGTATTACCGTCATCAGCCGTAATTATCCGATTGTAGAAACGGTTTTGCGCGGACAAAAATAATTCGTGCGGTATAACTGTTACGAAAAAATCAAATTTTTACTTTAAAAAAATGTGAACTTGCACCGTGTGACGTTGGTTTTATTTCTTCGATACTCAAGACGAATGCACTCGTGAGTTATTATAGTTCGAAAATCGAATCAAATCTAAAGCCCGAATAGTTTTTGCCCGGGCAAAACAGTTTTCGCAGTCGAATTATGGGTGATGGTAACACGTTCTTCGAAGCTTCGTCACTGACATTTGTTTTCCCTGTCTGTGTTGCGTGGCGGTTATTATTGTGCCCTCGTTACACAACCGTTTGGTTTTTCGTAGACATTTCCTTGTTTATTTCGCAATTATAAAATCTTTATACGTAAAAAAAGATGTTTCCACTGAATAGGTGCTCGGGATATAGACAAGGGACACGGACCTATAAATGAAAGTGAATAAATTTGAATATTTTCGAGTTGATAATTTTTCTTTTTTCTCTCTCTCAAAATTGCACAAGAAAATGCCTATTCGCAACCCCTTAAACGCGGAGGGTTATTGTAATCTATACAGAGTAATAAAAACCAGAAGGAAAACTGGGCAGACCGAAAAAAAGACAAATAGACGGACTAAACCAAAATCCCCAGAAACGATAAAAGGTTCATAACGTGAAAAAAGTGGTTAACGATCGAGAAAAACTGTGTAATACCATTGAAGTTGAAAATTTGGTATATTAATAAAATAATAACTTGATAAATTGTTGCGAATTTTCTCATAAAAATCTACATTAAACACACGTAAAAAAAATATTATTTATTTTTTCAAATCCTTATAGGTTTTCACGGACTTGAAAACTAACAAAATAATATTGTTTTGGCAGTAATAATATTAAAGTTTTTTTTTTTTTTTCGACGACGATAAAATACATATTAATTTTGTCTCCGGTTTTTTACTTTTTATCAAACAGGCCATAAAAAACAGAGCAGCGGCAGGTTAAGTATTAGTTTCGCTCGTTTGGCCGCGTTTCATTGCGTCATTCGGACGCACGTCTTGTTACTCGTCTCTGTGAATTCACACCGCCCAACAATAATATTCGTCGTTTTTAGTATCAGCAAACCTCACTATTATCATACGCCCTACCTGAGGACCGTAACCGCCTCGTTCACGTGTTTTATCGTCGCGTAACACAATGCTTCTCAAACTTTTTTTATCACGGGGACCCATAAATTTAATGTAAAACTTTCAAGGCCCCCCACCATAATCAAAATCGTTAATAATTTTCTCGTGATTATATACCGAAATTACAATATGTACTATTTCGCACAGATAAATTATTAAAATGTTTAGTAAATTGATGTTTTTTAATACACTTTTAACAATAGTTTATAATGGTTCAAAACTTTAAACGTGTATAAATACAAAACTATACGAAAATATTTAATGGACATGTTGGTATAATTATTATTAATGTGACGGGCGGGCTTGCATATTTTTGCATGACATATTTATGTCCGATGTGATATTTGAGATTGCAATGTACAAGTTCGCTTCTAAAGACTGTAACGAAAGACGTCATCTACATACTTGATTTTTTTATTACTTATTTGCAATCGTGAAAACGCAGTTTCACAGAGATAATATCATGTCGGCGCGAAATGAATTAATATATAAGTAAAGCCGCTTTTGAAACTAACGGATATTCTTGCAGTCGTCTTAACTGCGAAATTCAGTTAGTTTTGTTTCGATAAATTCGGTTTCGGTGTTTTCTAATTCCAATAAAACCGGGCTCTTTTGCGGCCCACGGACCGTGCGATCGTATTTCAACGAAATAGTATTTTTACCCGATTACATATTCGTTATTTTTATTTAAACCGATATTTATAGCCCCGGCCCCGTTTGATTTCGAGTCGAAAATAATGCGATCGTTCGAATGAAACAAATATCTCACGCGCCCTCACTCCCCCCCCACCCCCTGGTAATATAGCCGCCGCGGCCTTCAGTTTGAGAAGCACTGCGGGCGTGACGGACCGTATAACACGACAAACGAGAACGCTCGTCGGTGTGACGGTACGACGGTTCGATTAATACGTACGCTATTATTGACCGTCCCCGTTCCCACCCTCCCCCCACCGGGTCCGCGATTCTTTCGGGTCGTCTGCCATGCGAACCGGGGCGTCACAAAGTGATTAATTAAAAAAAAACAGACCGAAAGCAAAAAAAAAAAAAACCCCGCCGTACCGACGAAAACAATATTTGTGTACGTGACGATGTTCCCCCGGTCTCGCGCGCCAAACGGCAAATCAAACTAATTGGCTTCTCCGTATTCCGACCCGCCCCGGACCCGACCGGCGGGTACCTGTAGTACCCGCTGTGTGTTATAACGACACCGCGGTCCATATTTTTTTTTATTTATTTATTTATTATTATTACTATTATTTTTTTTTTTTTATATTAATACGCCGATTCGCGACCGTTCGGCAATACCGCGAAACGGCAATAAAGACGCGTCGGCGGCCGTTAAAGTGACACGCCGCGCGGTACCGGACCGGACCCGTTCGCCTCAATATTGCGAACGTCGCGCGCGAATAAATCGCTCGACTAATTCGCCGCGCTGTCGGCGGATAAACGCGTGAACGTTACATAAAAAAAAAAAAAAAGTATAAAAAAACCGGCTGCGAGTAATCGATATTATGATGTTATTATTGAAACGCTCGTCGTCGTCGTCGTCGCCGTAATTGCTGCCAGTGGCGTGCCCAGGAATTTTCAACGGCAGTGGACGTGACAAATAAAAATCGTGAATAAAGATAGTAAAATCGTCTTCTCGACTCGACCATGGGAATTGGTAATGTTTATAAGAGCCGGATCCTAAAATCCACTTGGCTCTTAAAACGATCCGGATTTATTTCGTATTCGCCGCCGGTTACAATTATTGCGTAGTGTTCAATACGTTCGGTTTAGTTTATTTACACAATTACCCCAGGGGAAAAGTATAAATAATTTTTATTTTTTTTTTTCACGAGGCAATTATAAATATTGAATTGAAAATTGAAAAACGCATTTTTGGGGATTTTTTCACTTGAAATCTTACTGTTTTCAAAGAACCATTAATTATTGATATTGAAGCACAGAAAAAAAAAATACAACACGAATAATATTACATTTTCTTTATAAATATTGCGTTATTTATGTTTACAACCATCCCATTTCACCCGCACTACAGGACAATTATTTTTTATCGCAGCCGAACACGTCAAATAAATTCGATTTCGGTTTTTCGATTCGTCGTCGCATCGAATGTTCGAAAAACGGTTTCGATATCCTCCTTCGGTTTCTACGCCTTTCCGGGACATCCGATTCTTCGTGATTATCTTGTCTGTACGTTGATTTTTCTTCAAACCTCCGCCGAGAAATTTCGCGCCCGTTTGTTTTAATTTTGATTTTCTATTGGTCTTCCCGATTCGGCCGGAGTCTTCCTGTATTGTAAAGTGGGTTTTTTTATTTTCAAATTTCAACGAACGATATTTTTTTTTAAATATTTTCAAAACGGCACCTTTTTCCTTTTTTCTTTATTCTACCTGTATCGTAATCATATATAATACTATATCAACTTATAATGACTTTCAGTGATAACAATACACGTTTTAAAATTCTAAAACAGTAAATTAGAGACGAGTTATTATTATTACCTACATTATACTTCTTGCTCTTATTCTTGGTCAATTGGCCACCAAGACCGTCCCGTCATGCGATCTCTTCTCCAGTTTTTTTTATCCACAACTATGTTTCCCAGTCAAGTCTTCCTCTTGAGACTTCCTTATTATCTTTCTATTACCGCGTCCTCCCATCTCATACGTGGTCTTCTAAGTGGTCCCCGGTAGAATTTTCTCCAAGCACTCGTGACCTATAAGTACGAGATTAGAACAAATGCCACAGCCCGCTGTAGTCTTTTACGCCTTACCGCGACTAATGTATCCGGTTATTGGAAAATAGTGTTTTCATCTCGTCGTTGTTCCTACTTCTTCACTCGCCACGTGACTTATTTTTCTACGGGTCCAAACAACGTTCGTAATGTTTCGTCTTTCCAAAACTGAGAGACTTTCTTCCGTCACTTTTTCTTCATGACCGCATCTCTGATGCGCTGTAAATAGTTGCATGGGTATATTTATACATTATACTAAAAAAACGATGACCTAGGATAATCGGGTCGGGTTCAGCCAATGTTATAAGTAATTTAATGCATATCTGTAAATAAGGATTAACCATTTTTAACGAAAAAAGCGATTCTAAATGGAGTTCGATTGATAGAATTGTTTTGTCAACAATGCATATGTCATATTATGGTAATACAATTACATACATTATTTGCTTAATATTTTTCCCATTTAATGGGAAAACTCCTGATAAAATCGCAAAGTGACCTTCTTAAAGTACCTGCCCAGTCAGGTTTCCTTTTAGAACAAGTTCTATTATTGTAAATCGAAGCAAAACTGCTGGTAGAAAATTTGTCCACAGGAAAAAAAATAAATAAACATCATTGTAAAACCAATACGTTCCTCGTTCCGCTCAGAATCTAAAACAGAATCGGGTACACTTCCACTCTTCGTTGATAATCGCTAGTTAATTATTTAAAATAATCATCCTTTATTGACGTGCCCGGCAATAATAATCGTTTTATCGACTGTCGATTTTCATTTTTTTTTTTTTTTTGCCAAATGGGTGTTATTAAATAGCTATTATTACAATAATATTTTCTTCCGCGACGGCAAACGATGATTTTAATTCGTCGCCCTTTACATTATATTATTATTATTATACCGCTCGCATTATGTTGAACGTGAGCGTATAATGTAATAATATTATAATATCGTCGTCGTCGCCCCTCCACGAAGGGGGAAAAAACCGTACTTAAGACGGTTTTTTTTTTCTTCGGTTTCCCGTGAATCCAACGCCGTTTTCTCTTTGATGTACCTGCCTAACCTACGTCGATTTTTAATAAAAGAAAAAGAAAAATATTTCGATTTGTCGTCGTCGTATTATACACCGGGTGTAATAATATTATAACGTGCAGGGTAATATTCTTTTCTTTTTTTTTTTTTTTATCGCGAAACACTCATTATTTAGGAATATTATTATTATTATTATTAATTTCACGAGAATTTTTTTTTTTTTTATCATTTTTCGGATTAACATTTTTTTTTTACGCGTATAATAATATCGTTTGATATAAACATATATTTATTTTTATTATTTTTTTTTTTTTTTTTTTTTTTTTTTTTTTGAAATGTATACATCTCGTTCTCATTACGTCTAACAACTATATAATGTATACTCGTGTATATTATATAATATGTTTATACGTAACGAACGCTTGATCTTTCATGAGGTAATATTTCGAAACGCGCTTCACGTGATTTCATTATAATAAAGGTATAAAATTATTATTAAAGCGCGTCTTTTAGCCCGGTGTGTGCCGCAAGACGCGACATTTTTTTAAACCAATATCGGACAGTACAAGTTTAAAAAAAAAAACGTATGTACACAAAACGCGCGACGCGTAGTGCATACCAATAGAGATCGCATGCACACACACGAGCACAATCGAATTTATCGACGGCGAGGACGTCCGAAACTGTATATAAACACGTTTTATTCGCCCCCTATGTTTAGTGACCCTAGGCAACATACTTTACACGACCGCCGCCCGTACGCACGTTTTTTGAAGACACTACAATGAATCGTAACCCGTATATAATGTTATTGTCGTGTTTTGTACCGCGTGATTTAATGTAACCTCGCCATCACTACGGGGGGCTTTTTCGTCAAAATCGATTTCGTTTTTTTTTTTTTATTATTGTGTATACATATAATTCAGTAAGAAATAATTCTAAACACAGTCGTCGAAACGTTCGCCGAATACTCGAGATGTTTTGCTTTTATTTTTTTTTTTTTTTTACCCGTTTGTTTTAAGTGTTTACGATGTTGTCGAGGTTTCAGGTACTGAGGAACGTATAATAGTTTTGCTATGATGTCATGTTTTTGTCGCTCGCGATCTTTACGATGTCATATCGATTCGAAACTTTATACAGGAACATTTTTTGATCTTAATTTTTCTCGATCTAATCGGCGCACGAAGACGTAACTTTTTTTATTCTCCTTGTAGTTAAGGAAAAACCGGTAATTTGTCGTGTAATAGTTGCCGATTTCCTGGTTACCTCGGCAACGAGGAAAAAAATACGGCTAATACGGATACTATATGGTCAGAATCGTTTTTCGTAACCTCGTAATTAACTTATTCTGTATATTGTTATCTCCCATTTCCCTCCTAAAACGGCGGCGCGACCGTCAGCAGTGTCGGTCTTTTTTTTTTTTTGAAAATCGCATATTCAATTATTGTAAAAATCGCCCCTCCCCTATATCACGATAATAACCACCGGTGACCGACGATGACGACGTCTAGAGTATTATTGTTTTTTTATTGTATAAATTTGCGTAGGTGTATCAGTGCAGTTTGCGAGACTCGTAAAAAACTGCAGTGTCTCCCGGTGTTGTCCGCGCGGTATATTACCTATTACAATAACGACGCGCCGGCTCAAGGTGAAAGGCGTAATAGAGACTGAGATGATGTTTTATTATCAATATGTAATTTTTATTATTATTATTATTATAATTTCTGTCGTGTTCATCGCGGAGATTTTGACATCGCGCACTACGCGAAAACGATAAACGACTAAACGCATTATATGGTCTTTGTAGAAAATACAAATATCGTCGATACATTTGATATTGTTATTTATTATTTTTAGATTCTGATAGTGCAGCGAAACGTTTTATTCGGTTAGGGAAAAATGCCCCGGAACGCGCCTCCCTCCCCATCCCCGAGTATTGTCCGGCGCCCTGCTGGTTTCCACACTTATACGACAGCAAACCGCCTACCAGTATGGGAAAAACTTCGCAGGGTTATATTTTTCTCACGCACACATTTGTCCATAGACTAGAAAAAAACCGCTAAATAAAATCCGCCAAAAATATTATCCCGCACACGCGCCCCCGCTCAATAAAAGCAAAGTCTGATTATAAAAAGATTTTATTAGAAAAAAAAAACCTATTGCCGCCCTACCACGAACGTATTGGAATTTGTTAGATTTCAATATAATTTGTCAAAGATTCGTCAAATGTCCGCAGTCTAAAATACCATTTTAATGACCCGTCTCGTAAAAATGATTTTCGTTATATTATCTTCTGAACACCCGCGGCCCACCCCGTACAGCGGTTTTTCGCGAACCACGCGATTCACGTATTCACTTTCCCTGCGAGTCGCCACTGTTCGCGGACGTACGCTTTCGGAAAGCCGGGTCGTAAAACACGCGTCGAAAATCCCCGCGGCCCCGCGGCGGTATTGCGTCGATCAGTGGCGTGCCGGCAGGACGGCATAACGGGCGACGAGCCGCGGGCCTATGATGGTGCAGACAAGCGCCGTTTGAAAACAGGCGACGTCCTTTTCGCTCCCCCGCCGTTACGAACGAATCGGCGCCCGACTGGGATTGTGCATTCGAGTCCCCCTCCCCCACCCGTTCGGCTGTTTTAGGGAATCCCGGTTACGCCACTGGCGTCGATACGACCGCTGCAGCGGAAACGTCAGCGCCGGCCGAGGACGCGCTCGGCGGGCCCGCGGCCGTTTGATCGTATCGGCCGGCGCGACCCTCCGCGCATTATTATAATGCACACGTACGGCGGCGGCCGATTCCGTATAAGAAGGGATACGGGATAAGGGTTGGATACCGTTAGGCAGGTAGCCTTTGGCGCAATAACAGTGTCGTATCGCGGTGCTTATGATATTGTACGCGTATAATACGTACGTGTTTACACGCACGCACACACACGCACGTACACATACATGCACGGTGTATACACACGTGACCGTGTACAACGTCGGTAATTATTATTATTACTTTGAACCGACTGCAGCCGCGCGGCCGTAATACGCCGGGACGTAATACGCCGCGCGCGCCTACCTGCGCCGCGCGAACGGTACGAGACGCGAATGTAAATAATTGATCTACCGCGCGGTGTATTTTCGGGAAACGGCCGGCCGGCCGCCGCGCAAATATCCCGTTCGATTTGTGCGGCGGTGTGTTTTCGCGGTACGGACGGACGCGCCGCTGCCGCCGCCGCCGCGGTTTATCGACTCTCGTTCCCCGTCCGCAGTCATGCCGTCATGACGATAATTATAATTACGCGTAGTGCGTTCTCTATGCGGACGGCGGTCCCGGCCCGTTCCCGAAACCCCGCGGCGAGTGTTCCGAGCGTTTATTACCGCGGGTCCGTTTGGTTTTCTTGAAATGTCAAAAACGTCGGCGAACACGAAAGAGGTCAATGTTGAAACGCCGTGTCGACCGAATTAGATTCCTTCCTTCCTTCCTTCCTTTTTTTTTTTTTATTAACAATTTTTTCGCCGACTGACTTTGCACTGCTGCGAACTGCTAACGAAATAATCGTGATACGCGAACGCGGGGATTTTCGTCCGGATTTTTCAGCCGAGCAAGAATACACCGCGGGCGTGTAAAAAGTCGTTTCGTCAAACAGTGAGCGGGCCGAACGTGACGTTTCGGCGCGCGATTGAACACAACAGAAACTCATCTGACGTACGGCAATCGCGCCGCCGTCGCGCGTCGCATTTACCGCAAACGTCACCGTAACAGTCGGGGATATTTACCCTGCGGCGCAAAACCACCGTGACCAACGTGAGTCCGGTTTCACGGCCTCGTGAAAATCCGGCAACACCGCGATAAAAAATCTTAGGCGGAGGACGCGCGCGTCCGTCGCGACAATTGCGATTGTAACGAACCGGCGGCTCCGCATGTCGTAACTCCGCGCCGTCATTTTCCGGCTATTAGGCGTTTTGCGACACGGAACGACACGCGTATTGAATTTCCCCCACCTCCCCCCGTCTTCGCGACTTCTCGCCCTGTAACGGCGGTGCGCGGTATGTCCGTCTATAAATAAATATTTATTTGTTTTTTTTTTTTTTAAATCCACGACGTATTTTACACGATTGCCGTTTGACGTTTCCCATGGCGCCTGTAGGTGTGCGTATTATTTTCCGCAGGCTTTATTATTATTACCATATCGGTCGTTCGTTCGTTTGATCGCGAAC